ACTCCTAGTAGCCCCCCTAATAAGCCCTATATAGTACTCCCCTATCTAACCCCCTATATAATCCCTGTTAAGGAGTTTAGATATGGCTCATTTGAAGTGGTCCTCAAAATTGCAATACATTACCACGGCTGCATGTAGTAAAGGGACGTCGAAAGGGGACTACGGGCTCGACCCACTCAGATGCAGCATCATCGTGCGAACCGGTTACGGGTTTGGTCCCCCCTGTCTTCTTAATCTGTCTAACTATTGCCACAGGTGCATATAATAGTACAACTAAAGATAATGGCAATAGTAATAGCAATAGTAATAGTAACATGATAGTAGAAGCTAAGGTAATAACAGTAATAAGAATAGCAATACTAGTAGGAATACAAAAATCACAATAATAAATGGAAACCTACCCACAAAAACCCCTTGCGTTGAAAGGGCCCGTCCTCTGAGGCAGGGCCACACGACTCTGGGTCCCTCCCTCTGATTTTGGAGGCTATCATCACTGAAGCGGTCCTCAGTAACAGAGGAAATGATTTCAGAAGTTCACTGCCTGGTCTCTCCCTTTTAAAGGGCCTTCTCCTCCGGAAACTGCTCAAGAGCCTGCCAGATACATCCAGCTTTGAAGAAAAACACTCAAGAACAGCTGGGTTGCCATTAAGGAACTTAAATTAAGTTATCATATTTGAGGAAACCATGTTAAAGAGAAAGTATATATATATACATACACATTATGGTAATTCAAATTAAGTTCCTGAACAGCAACCCAGACAGGCGAGGCTGACCATTGCACATCCGACAGCCTGGTGAAACACGGAGGATTGGATGCTCATCAGAAAGCACAAGGTCACCTGCCGAGTCTGGCATGGCTTTGCAAGGCAACACAGAACGCCCCCACCATGCTATCAAATTATTGTACCATAATACTATACAATTATACTGTTATATACTATTGTACTATTATACTATTATACCATTATATTAGTGCACTATTATACTACACCATTATACTGTTATAGTACTGTTATACTATTTCACCTTTCTACTTTTATACTCTTGCCCGATTGTACCATTATACAAGTATACTATTATACTATTATACGACCTTACCTTTAAACTATTCTATTACTGCACAATTGTACTATTATATTCTTGTAAAAACAAATATCCACAAAGCTGGTCAAATCTGTCAAGTCGCTGCTCGGATTGTCACCGCACGCTCCTGAGCGTCAGGAATGCTACGGTGGATACTTACCATCCTGCATGACCCTAGGTACCCTAAACCTTACAATTTATATATATCATATAAATATGTATATATACATACACATATATATATATGTGTATATGTCTATGGTATTCTAGTATAGTAAAGTGATGCAGTATTTTTCGTATCAACAGTAAATGTGCCCCCAGCTCCACAAGGACTGAACAGGGGCGCGGCAGGTGACTGACCCAACATCGCCAGCCTCGAAATTGCTGAGACTGTAGGCTGCCTTTGGGGAAAAAACTCCTGGATTGCTGTTAAGGAACTTAGATTGACTTACTATAACAAGGAAGCCCAATTTATTTACCATATGACTTTATTAGGGTAACTTATATACTAGAATTCTATAGCCCGGTTATGGTAACTTGATTTACGGTCCCTCAACAGCAGCCCAGACTCAGTAGCTTCCATTTTATTTTCCATTATCCCTATATATCTCCGATATACTATAGTAGTTTCCATTTTATTGTCCATTATCCCTATATAACTCCGATATACTATAATCGTTTCCATATCATTTTCCATCATCCCTACAGTACCCCAACCCTAAACCCTAAACCCTAAACCTTAAATCCTAATCCCCAAACCCTAAATCCTAAACCCTCTACCCTAAATCCTAAATCCTAAACCCTAAACCCTAAACCCTAAACCCTATATTCTGCAACCAAAGGGGCTCTCCAAAGGTTGCTCCTGGGGAGATGCGCGCAATCGCGCGGCCGCTGCGCTCCGCCACAACCACGCCACCTTGCCGCCAGAACTCGCCCAAAGTTATGTAGGGGTTTAGGGGTCTAGGGTTTAGGGTTTAGGGGTTTGGGGTTTAGGGCTTAGGGCTTAGGGTTTAGGGTTTAGGGGGTTATATGGGGGAAATTTGGATAATGGAAAAAATTGAAAATATTGGGGTAATCCCTATACTACATATGAGTTATAGTCTAAACTTCTAGTATCCCTATAGTAGTCCCTTATATAATCCCCTATATAACCCCCCCGCCTCCTCTCAGAAGTTCTTTCTTCTTTCCTTCCCATTTTTTTAGGGGGCATCTCCAAACCCCCAAATCAAACCCTAAACCCTAAACCCTAAGCCGTAAACCATAAACCCTAAGCCCTAAACCCTAAACCCTAAGCCCTACCTAAACCCTAAGCCCTAAAACCCTAAACCCTAAGCCCTAAAACCCTAAACCCTATAAACCCTAAACCCAGCCGCCTGATAAGACGAACATGCAGGGGTCTTGCTCGACACAGCCCTC